ACAATAAACTGAGACTTGATGATCATGATATCATGAGTCTTGTCTCCCGCGGCATCCCTCCAACAGATACCCATGTATTGTATTGCATTGTTGTCTGCAGTGGCATTACAGTCTTTAGGGTGGGGAAATTAGGTCCAGACAAGCAATTACTGGGTTTGCACAGGTGACATGTAGTTCCTTCTGCAGTATGCTGTACACATGTTCTGCTTTAAATGCAATTTAGCTATGATAGATTTCAATAAAAATTACGTAAGTACATGCAGATCTCTTTGCTGTCTCCCTCGTATACCAGTTATATAGCTTGTTTACAGGCACTGGGAATCTTCTATTACAAAATTACTAATTAAGATCATTAAATAATGTCTTTTTCCTTTAGCAGGAAAACAGTGCATTTTTCATAATTTGTAATAATTATTTATGAAATAATGATAATGAATAATAATAATATTTATCCATTGTGTTTAACTATTTGTTGCCCACTATCCACAATTACAGTGTATAAAAACACTCACTAAATGTTACTTTTATTGCCTCTGGCCTTTTTGTCAACACTCTGCTTGAAAGTCAGAAGCAGGGAAGATAATTTGATTTTTTTGTTTCTTTGAGAAAAGGTGATGTAAGCTCTGTGTTTGAAGATTTTAATGTTTTCACACTAGGAATACAGAAAAGTAATTTACCTTTGGAAGTAGAGTTGCTATCTTTATTTACAATTACTTTCACTAATTATACCTAGAAATTACTGTAAATGCTGGTAGTATGATGATAGATGCTAGCTTTGTACATGTCCAGTCTTTGGTTTTTGTTGAGTTTTGATAGTGTATATCAGTTATATATGATATTGATAGGTATTAATAAGTCTAGCATTAAATATACTTTCTCTTGAAAACCAGTAATATTTAAGATAAGAGATCTATTTCATACAAATCATACAGATACCTAAATTTGTGTGCGTTTTCAGCTTGGTGTGGTGATGACTTTGCCTTACTAACATGTTGTTTCTTGTGGTTGAAAACAGCAGCACAGATTTCTGCAATGCTTACAGCAAATAGGACCTACTCAGTATCTTCTGATGCAAGAGTATCTGCTTGGTGCTTCTGTGTTTCCATTTTCTTAAATGCTTGGGGAGAATGTAGAAATATGCTGTTTCTTTGTGGATAGCTTTGAATTTAATGCAAAAACGGAGCAGATGCTCCTGGAGCTTCTGGATGTTACTGTCTCAGGTTACTGAAAGTGTGAAAATATATTTCCACTGAAGAGAGAAACAGTGAGGTGGGAGATGGATATATAAAAGCAATATGGGAGCAAAGGTGCAGGAAATAATGTCATTAGGCAGAGAGGTACAACAGTAGGAAAGAGCAGTTAAAACCAGTAGTGGGCATTTGATTTGCCGAGCGTGGTCCATGTGCTTCTTCTCTTGGGTAAGTAAATCACTGTAGCTGATTTAGTATTGGTTATTTTTCGACATCTTTACTGCATACAAAGCAGTTTGTGTCCTTTTCAATATATTTATGAGGATTCTAGGACTGAATGTAGTTACTCTTTAAAAAGAGAAAATTCTAATTTTTAAATACTATAAAAGAAAGCGTTTCTTTCAGAAGGTGCCACATTGCCATGCCACAACAAGCAGGTTGGAACAACTTCACAGTGCTTGTCACAGGCTCCCATGCTCACTGTAATCCAACTTACTGTGTGGTAAATACAAATGAAATATTCAGTACTGCTTTTGTGACTGAATGTTGTGTACTGTCAAAGCAATAAATATTTTTTCATGGTATTGCAAGGGCATTGCTGCTGATCAGTCTATTGTGTTTCTTGAGTTCCAGTCCTTTGCTGCTGTACATAGTCTCTCTGAGGTTTCTGCATAGCAAAAATTAAAATCTTAACAATGAGAGCAAAAATTAATTTTAAACCTAGATATTTCTCTGAATTTGTGTTTCCCTTTGGTTGAGAGTAGAAGGTCTCTTGTCTCAGATTCTGAGAAGTTTATAACACTTCAGTAAAGAAAATACCTATTGATTTGTGTTTCAAAGTTAGCTAGTTAGGACAGAACTTACATTATGAAATGACCAGTTTACATTCATTCTAAAGAGCTAAAATTGAGAAATATAAACGGAATAAAAGAATGATAGGTAGACTGTAATTTAAAATTTGCTAGACATTGCTATTGATTTTTTTTTGATGTACTGACTACAGTAGTCTTCCATTTTTATTTTACAAAAGAAAAATATATTAGATTTTTTGAAAAAAAGAAATAGTCTTAAATTTATTGAACCTTGATTATATTACATGAACTTTCTTTATCATATTGGCTTGTCTGTTTGATGTCATGCATCTGTTGACTGTATGAAAGTTTTTTTTAATGGAGAAAACAGCAGATCTGGAGAAACTTTAAATATGAGTGTTTTGTCAGTACAGGTCTCCAAGTTAGCTGATGTCATGATCAAACATGGTGTGAAGAAAGGAGATCGTGTGGTTATCTACATGCCCATGATTCCACAGACAGTGTACTGTATGCTGGCTTGTGCAAGAATAGGAGCCATCCATAGCCTCATTTTTGGTGGATTTGCATCTAAAGAGCTTTCAGTTCGCATTGATCATGCAAAGGTAATAACCTGTTTGAAGCAACAATCACCATTGCATTAGTTACTCCTATTAGTCAATGTCAAAAACCTGTTGTTTGGATTTTTTCCCAGACAGGATAATGTTTCTCTTTGTGTGGCACACAGTTTGTTTATAATACCTATTGTTGCAATATGAACAAAGTACTATGTCTGTGCTGAGGTTGATAGTTGTATATCAGACACAAAGTGAGCAATTTTGACGAAATTGCTGCTCCTTCTACAAAAGCAGGAGTTTAACACACTGTTGTTTGTATAGAGTCTACTTTGTTTTCATGTTGGTCAGTCTTTTTCTACAAAGCATCTCCTTAATATTGGCTTTTGGTTCAGCATTTTCATCAAGGAAATGAGGAGAATTGTGCCAACCCTAAGTGATTTCACTGGCTTGTCTGATGTTTAGGCATGTTAGGTAGTTCATTTGTTCAACTATGTTATGATTTAGGAATAGTGTTCCCCAATGTATTGTTCTTATTGAAACACTCCAAACCTTATGTTGTTTGCTTGTTCCCCTCTCTCCCTCTTCCTCCCTGTGGTGGGATGAAGAGGAAAATTTGAGGCCTAAAAGGTAAAGATCAGGTTGAGGTAAGAACAGTGTGCTAGAAACAGCAATGAAATAAATGAACAGTAACAGCAAAATAGGCATAGCAGAGAGTGCAAGAGGCAAATGATTCACACCATGCTGACCCTGCACTGTCCCACCACGGCCTCCAGAAAGGACTCATCCCGCTTGACAGCTATGGAAACAGTTGTTCTAAATAAATGACTCTGCAGATTACATAATTAATAGAGGTCAATTCTTTAAAGGCTCCTGTGTTTGGCATAAGTTGAGCTTGTTTATAAAGCGTTATGTCTTTGTTACTGAAATAAAAATAGTAGTTGACTATTCTTAGTACCTTATATAGGCATATTAGTAGCTTGTGTATGTGCTAGTTTCAAACCAGCTAACAATGGAACGGCCTATTCTTGTTTTCCACTAGTGAACAAGGCAAAGTCTTTTGTCACCTTGATCAATCACCTGAAGCATTCAGACTCTCTGTGGTAGCCATCTTGTCATTTTGCTTAGATATATAAATTGCTTAGATATATAAATTGAATTGTACTGCTTAGATATATAAACCAGAACAGGATTTTGTGTAGGGTTCAAGTCTCCAGGATTTGTGGAACTTTCATGTAGATTTCTGTGTGCAGAAGTGCTTTTCAGATTATAGAAATTTCAATTTTATAAATATTGGTAAATAGAGAGTTGAATGCATTTTCCCTCTCTCCTTGATGCTTTAACAAAGATGTTAATAAAATGGCCAAAATGGTTTGTTGGAATGATGCAAAAAGGCTATCAACAGCTCTCTAGTTTTCCCTGTCTTTCTTCCCACTTGCCCATCTTTTAAACAAGCTATAAAGTAATGTAGAAGAAAAAATTATAAACTTTAAAAATGGAGGCTGCTACAAAAACAAATCATCTGGCATGTTTACTTCTAGAGCATTTTGCAATTTTTGACTAATTAATCCCAATGGTTTTTCCTCAGGGGAAAAAAGGGAGAGAGCATAATAATCATAATCATAATAATCATAATGCATTAAATTGAAAAGAGAGGAAGTTCAATTTTTCTACCCAAGGTCACGTAGCAACTCTTTTGAAGGGTTAGCTATATAATTATTAGCTAATAATTATAGCTAATCATTAGCTAATCATTAGCTAATAATCATATTACCTGGAAACCATGGACTAAGTCCTAATTTACATTGCCTTTTGGTTTCTTTAAAAGGCAGTATTATGAATTATTTTTGGTCCATCTGATGTATAATAAAAATCTAAGTAAGGGGAGGCATATCCTCAATCTACTTTTCAAAACATGCCCCAATTTTCAGTGTGATAAAGCTTTCATGATAAGTGAATTGCACACTCTTGAGGCTACCTGTAAGTACCTGTGTTAGACAGTAAAAATGCTTAATAAATAAAGAAGTTGCACAATAACCTAGCCTTTTTATTAGGCTTTTATGTGAATTGGTTTAGATGCTGCAGTATAGGACCCGATATTGGTAAAATTAATTGGAAAGTGTTAAAGATGTGCAGTGGAAGGCTGGATGTAAGATGCTCTTGTAGAAGAAAGATCAAACTTCATACTCCATTGGAAAGTCTGAGTGAAAGAAATAACAAACACTTTCTAGTGACTATGAAAAGGTACACTTGGCCAGGTTAGCTTAATTTATCTTGAATTTTAAATAGGTCTGGGAATGCTGCAGAGTCCTGCAGCGGGTAATTTCTACTTGTGTCAGGTGTTGGCAGTTACAGGCATTCTGCAGTGAATTGTGATGAAGTGATACAGAGCATGAGAACAGGATTTTTTGTCATCCTTCCTTTTACTTGAGTCTGGGAATATATAATTTGTAGTATTAAAGCAAAAGGTAGGTTCATGCAGTCATGGAAGGGACCTTTGAAGGTAATCTAGACTCACTTCCCATAATGAGCAGGGCATGTTCAGATAGATTAGGTTTCTCAGAGCCCTGTCAAACCTGACATTGAATGTTCCCTGGGATGGAGCATGTATCACCTCTTTGAGCAACCTGTGCCAGTATTTCACCACCCTCATTGCAAAAAATGTCATCCTTATATCTAGTTTAAATATATTTTCTTATAGTTTTATACTATTACGTCTTTGTCCCATTGCAGCAGACATTGCTCATGTCCAGCTTTTCATCCACCAGTATCTCAATCCTTCTTGGCAGGGCTGCTCTCAATCCCTTCATTCCCCAGAGTGCATTGATTTTTGGATGGCTTGGCCTGGTACAGGTGTAGGACCTTGCACGTGTGCCCTGTTGAAGCTCATTAAGTTCTCATGGGCCTACTCCTCAAGGTTGTCCATATCCCTCTGGATGGCATCCCCTCCTTCAGGAGTGTCAGCTGCATCACTTGAGGAGTATTAGAGAGTATAGAAGAATTTGTAGAAGGAGTCTTTACAGCAGGATGAAAATGTTTGTCTTGTACCAACATCTTTTACTATTGGGCCTTGCTTTATCTCATTTCTACTTCATAATGTTGCTGTTTTTTTTCTATAGCTCACTATCTATGTCATTCTTCTCCAGCAGACCCTTGAACTCTCCCTGTTTTTTCTTCAAACTTGTTATATTTCTATCTAATCTTAATATATGACTACATGGAGCCCCAGAAGAGGTGGGAAATTATCGCCGGCCAGGGGCTATGTACAAATCATGGACGGGACTACTGTGGCATGCGTCTCGAGCTGTTTATTTTTTAGCATCAGTCTCATTACAGGGTTATGACAATGGGAAGATGCCAGCAGCTCACATCCAGGCAACAGACCAAGAACTTAATGTTACAACTTACTTTATAAACTTTTTGACCAGTCAAACAAAGCAAAATCATATTGACAGTAGTTCTATCCAATCACTATAAGCACACGTACCTTTGGTTAAAACAATGCTTGCTTATTTCTAATACAATACTTGCTTGTAAGCTTCAAGATACAATGCACAGAGCTCCATTATTAAGCTTAGACCTTCCTAATATCTCACCAGATATACTTTCCTGCAACTTAGGAATTTATTCTACCCAAACGTTAATACACAGACTATTGTTCTATTTGTCCTTTCTTTCTACATCTTGTATACTTTTTCTGCTGACAAATCTTATAGCTACTGCTTACCTCTAATCACCATCCTGCTGTCTCTGAGGCCTGCCTTTTGCAATGTGCCCCAAACCCTCTGATTTTAAGGAATCCCACAGGAAATGGGTGTATGAAAGCAATATGGGAGCAGAGGTGCAGGGGAAATAATGCTATTAGGCAGAGAGAAGAAAAGAGCAGTTAAAACAAGTAGTGGGCCTTTGATTTGCCTGGAGTGATCCATGCTTCTTCACTTTGGTAGTACATCACCTTACCTAATTTAGTATTGGTTATTTTTAGATGTCCTTACTACATACAAGGCAGTTGATGAGCACAAGTGGGATCATCTACAAATTACTATAAAGCTAGTGATAACAAGATTCTTTCATCTTAACACTTGAATAGGACTGTGTGTCTTGTATTTATTACAGTCTAACTTCAGAGTGGCCTCCCAATGTATTTCAGCTTAACTGCACTGTATTGTACATCTATTAAATCAGTGCACTCCAAAAAGGAAAATCAATGAATGCTGAAATTTTAAAGCTCATCCAAAATGTTTACTTTGAATACACACCAATTAGGGATCTTTCCTGAATGACATATTTGGACAGGAAACATTTTATTATTGCACAAGAGAACAATTGAATTTGTACTTTCTCTGCTGAATTTAATTTAGCCTTAACTGTGACATTGTGGTTTATGCCTACTTAATGGGATTTATGCTAATGAATACAATTAGTAAACCAGCTTGATCAAACTGAGCACCATATGATAAATAAACTTCTAAAACTTCAAAACGACAGAGATTGAAGACTCGTTCTTTTCCAAGTAAAATATGTTCTAACACAGAGTTTCTTTGGTGCTTCCTTTTCTGTCCTGAAAAACAAAAAATAAAAATACCAATCTTTGGACCCAAGTTGAAATAGCTTCTATGCAGATTTCTTCACTTAAGCAGACTTAAATAAAAGGTGCGGTTAATGTATTGACAAAGATGAGAAATCTGCATTTGGAAGGAGATATTTAAAAAGCCCCAGAACTATACATATCTGATTTTTAGTAATTTTGCACCCTCAATCCTTCAACCATCTCTTGAAAAACTCTAGCCTTACTTTCCTTCCTGTGCCTTATGGCTTTTGTTTATTCTCTTCCTGTATTTCTAGTTTCCTGCCATCTCTTGTTTGCCTTCTTTTCCCTCTTTCTTCTCGTTTCCATCCTGTGACTTTTATTGCAGGCTGTGAAAAAGCCAGCAAAATTCTTCAGCTAGTATTGAAATGTGAAATTGGAAGCATTAGGTAGAAGGCAAAACAGTACAGCTAACTGTTGACGTCACTGCACCACTCTTTCTTTCATTAATATTTGTACAACTAATAAGAAGTTAATACTGTTGATTTCTTACTCAGATGTATTTGAAAACAGTGATGTGTTGGAAAGCATTAAATGTTCTTCCAAACAAAAAGCAGATGCATGGACAGTGAGATTACACAAGCTTAATTTACTCTAGAAAACTGATCTAACCCCTGTGTCTAATTATGTAAAGGTAAATTGTATATGTTGAATTTAATGGAAAATATTATTAGGTTACATATCTAAAATACATTGCAAATGTATATATTAACTTTCCTCTTCTTTTAGCCCAAACTTATTGTAACAGCAAGTTTTGGAGTAGAACCGAAAAGGAAAGTGGAATACTTATCTCTCCTAGAAGCAGCACTGGCAAGGGTACAGAGCAAACCTCATAAAGTTCTCATTTACCAGCGACCTAATTTGGTGGGTGTACAGTTGTACTGTCTTTATGCTAGCCTTCACTTATTTTTGTAGTTCATGTGCCTTTACTTTTTTGCAATAAATATTTTACTGTATCTGTTGTAGTTTGTTTTTAATTTTAAGGATGAGCATTATATTAATAAGATTTAAATACTAAATAGAACTAATGCAGTAGAGAGCTTACAGAAAATTGAATAGTACTGTATAAAAAATTTGAATATTATATGTTTTTTTAAAATGAATTCCATTTATTCCATGTAATTTTCTTTTGACAGTTTTCTTATTTTTCAATGGGCAGGGCCATGTTCCTCTTACCAGAGGCCGTGATCTTGACTGGGAAGAAGAGCTTGCAAAAGCCCAATGTTCAAAATGTGTCTCTGTTCCCTCAGACCATCCACTTTATATTCTGTATACATCTGGAACAACAGGTTTGCCCAAGGTAAAGGACTATGACTAGTCTAAGTGCCTGTGACCAACTATTTGCAGTTCTCTGTGAAAAAATATTTAATTGAAAAGGTTGAAAATGTTTGCTAGAGCACAATGCTATAAATTATCCACATTTAACAAATGGTTTCTTCATTTGTAGAATCTCTTTCTTCACATTTCGCTATTTTAAAGGCAGTGTCTAGGAATAAATAATCGTTTTAAATTTAAATAGTAGTAGTATAAAGATGCATTTTCTTTAGTTGTTTGTACAAAATAAACTTTTGAGGATAGCAGAATGTATTTTATTCAGTACTGTCTTCTGTGTTTTAACTTCCTTAGATAAGCATAGTATAGTTACTTAATAACAAGACCAGTTAATATATCACTTGTGTGATAGCATTGGTTGCTGACTAATCTTGTTCATTATTTACATATTAGCTAATTTTCTTGTAGATAAGATGTGCTGAATGACATTACAGATTAAATGAAATAAAGCTTATGTTACTGAACAGTTCCGAGTACATAATACCCTGAAAATAGAAGTTAAGTGAAAATTAACAAAGGGTATTCTCTGAAAATGTTTGCTTTTGAATGTAAATTAGTTTTTAGAATGTATTTTTAAAGAATTGTATTTAAAAAGTTAACTCTCTGTGTGTTTGCCTGGTACTTAAAATGCTCATTTACAATGTGTAAGACAAGCTTAATATAATTTTATGGCGATAGTCTTACTACCATTTATTCAGAATCTCTTAGAATGTAATGGAAAACAAACATCAGATTTGTTGAGAAAAATGCCTTCTGCTTTTACCTTCAATGTGGGCCCTTGAAAGCAACATACATATCCTAAATCATTCAGTTGTATTGTCAAAAAACCCAAGATAAGATCCTTTGTTACAACAGATATTTTCCTTGACAGAGTATCAATATAGTATCTCAGAGGTAATAGGTCTCAGAAGTTTACTTCACTGTGTTGTCTCTGCAGAGAAAAGTACAGACATCTTAAATCAATCACCCTTACAAGAGAGATATTTTCAACTAGCAGTAAGCTACGATAAGTAACTCTCAGTGAATAAAATAACTTTTTTATTTATTTATTTAAGTAACTTAATTTTAATGGTCATGTAGGTAAAACTACTTGGTTATAACCATCCTAAAAAAACTTTTGTTGATCTCAGAACAAAGGCTAAGTTAGAAGCTGAGTTGAACAAATGGAATCTGCTGTCTGAAATTGGTGAAGTGTTTGTAAACCATTCTCTGCCTTAGCAATCTCCATTTTAGTTAATGTATCTCTGCAGTCTCTTATTTCTTGGATGAGATCTGAAAGTGCCTATTTCATTCTGTTAAATACATCAAGAGACTGTACCATGCCTAGCACAGACAGACAGCTGCATTGTAATGTCTGTGCACTGCATATTTGTTTGGTCCAGTGGATTTCATCTGACTTTTAGTTCAGGATACCAGGATGTAGTTTACTTAATTCTTCAAGGAATAATGTGCTAGAAGGTGATATTGTCAGTATGTCAATATGGTCAATATTTATTGACCATACTAACATTGCAAAATATGTCCAAAAGTTTCTTGTTAATGATGTTCCAGAGCTGGTTTTGGTTTACCAAGGTGCACGATGCTGTCAATAATCTCTCATTCTAATTCTCAAATCCCTCTTTTAGCTGAAGACTGGGGTGGTATTCATTTAGCATTCATGTGTGTACTTCAGGCTAGATGAAAAAATTTCAAGAATATACTCTGACATCTTTAAAAAGAGTCAGAGCAGAAAGGGACATTTCAGGGAGTAATTCACCCCAGTTTTTCCAGGGGTCATCTACTTTGCAGGTGTGAAGATGATATAGATAGAGTAGGCAATGAATTTAAAATGTGCCTAGCATCGGGATGGTACAGTTTAAGTGAGGTAAATACTTAATCTCTTATTTTTTGTCAGTATATATTGACTATTTGTATATCCAACTTTATGAGAGAATTTTAGCTTTGTTAGTTATCTTTTGAATGTTTGTTTTACTGTATGTTTGGTTTTTGTTTTCCATAACTACTTCCTTAGTGGAAGTGTTAGTATGTGCTTGTTGGAATAGATTCTTTTCATAAGTAAGAAGTATTTGAGCTGGATAAATTTAATTCCATTGCTACTAAATCATTAACATTTAATTGAACACAGCAATATGATTGTATCCTTCGAATCTTAATCTTAAATACTTAAATACTCAAATTTCCTCATTTAGGGTGTTGTGAGACCAACTGGTGGCTATGCAGTTATGCTGAACTGGACTATGTCAGCTGTGTATGGACTCAAACCTGGTGAGGTAATTCTATTTAAATGTCATGTAAACATTTTTTAATACCTCTTAATACTCCTAACTATAATTTTGGTTATATTTCATTTTAGGTATGGTGGGCAGCTTCTGATTTAGGCTGGGTTGTTGGTCATTCCTACATTTGCTATGGACCTCTCCTTCATGGTAATACTACAGTTCTGTATGAGGTATGATTCAGTCTAAAAAACCCTCCTTAGAAATGGCAGCATCTCCTCCAGCTGATGGTCCAGATGATCTTGTTTATGCCTGTCTATTCTTCATGCCACAGATATTTAAATTGTGTGTGTATTTATACTCTCCAATCTATTAGAGTAATTTTTAAGGAAAATTTACTTCACAGTCCTTCAAGTTTGTCTATATTTGTGTGAAGAGTGATGGTTAGTGGCATAAGGAACCCTGAAAGAGCAGAACTAGAAATGGATAATGGTGGAGTGTACCTGGGTTATTGATTAGACTACTTTTATTTTGGAATCAGGAGAGTTGTTGTCATGGTTTGACACTGGCACAATGCCAGTGCCTCCATGAAAATGCAATCTCTCAAATGAATGCTGTGAAATGCAATTGAGAACAGAGCAAAGCAGGCCCAAGCTTAATAACAGGAAAAAAAACTTTATTAAGCTACTACTATAAAAGAAAAAAAGAAAGGAAAAAAACCACACAAAGATCAAAATGAAAACCTTGCAAAGCATTCCTCCCCCCACCACCCAACTCCAACAAACCACAGTGAGACACAATCTGGACCCCAGTCAGGTTTCCACCCTCCAGACAATCGATTCTCAGCCCTTTGAGGGAGACAGGAGTCTCTCCTGTGCCACAGACCCCCCAAGAAATACAGCTGCCACATCCTGTGCTTCCATGTCACACATGGCACCGCCCGGAGAAGTTTGCCATGGTGACCCTTCTCCTTTCCATGCACAGTGCTCTCACCACCAATGCATGGATGGACAGACTGCTTTTAGGATTTTTCCTTTCAAGGATGCCTGCCAAGAGGGGAGAAAAACAACAGTTCAGTTTTTCATTTTTTGGGACCACAGTCCCCCCCATTTTCCCCTGGGGCTGGGGGTCCAAGAACAGAGATCTTCTTCTCTTCTCCTTCTTTTGAGGACAAGGGGCACCACCACAAACCCCCTAACTTTTTTCTGTTCGCTCCACTTCTGTCTTTTCCCAGCTGAAGCAGGTCTCTTGGCTCACTGGCATCCTCCTAAAATACAGTCTCTCTTGGAGGAGAAGATTAATTCCATGTGTGGCTACCAAGGAGAAAGTCCAGCCAAAAAGCCACTCCTTCACCCCCCACCCCCATCTAGAATTTCTCCTTCTAACATCCCAGGGTCCAAGCTGTCCCTCTTCCTCTCTTTCAAACCGAAGAGGGAAAAAATTTCACAAAGCTTTCATTTCTCAAGGAAGGGTTAAAAATCCGAACTCCCAGGATAGCTCGATGCCCAGACTCCAGCGGATCCCACAGGCAGCTGGGCACCTTGTGGCCCCCCCCTCGCTCTTCTTACCCGCGGTGAATCGCTGATAAAAACTGCTGCTGCTATCTCTTTCTCTCTCTCTCTTGAGAGAGGGAGACTCTGGGGGGGAACGGAGACATCCCAGATTTCTCCACCCTTCCACGACAGTTGTGTTTTGCATGTTTTGTGATGAAAAATACCGGATCTTAGTTGGATGCAATTGGAAGTTGTATGCTTGGAACCAGAACTTCTAATGAGTGTTGTCTCTTCTTTCCTCTCTACCACTCAAGGAAACTGAACTCAAGGCACCGATGACATCTGGGGCTTAGTCCTTCCCTTCAGGGGATGAAACCTAGTGGGGTGGAGAGGAGACTAGTTCAGTTGGAGTGGCCTATGGCATCCTTATTTTGCTGCTCAAAAAAGTAATCGTACTGCCTTAATTGTTACTTTTACAGACTTTATTGCTGATTTTTCTGAATAAGAAAGAGCAAAAAACTTCACCCAGTAGCAGACATACACATTTGCAGACTCAAATATTGTATTAGCTTGAGTACTAAATTACTGTGGTCTAATTAATATTTAAGTGCCTAATAGATTTTAATTAGATTCTTCATTCTAAGGGGATTAACTCAGTACTACCACAATAGTTGAGAAGAGGAAACCAGTGTAGAAAAATTGGCAAATGCTCATAGACAATAAAAATATTTCAGTAGTTTTATCGTGACTGCTTTTGAACACTGATGTGCTAGGCTGCATTAAAATTATTGCATGAATTTTCAGAAGATAATCACTGCAATGAAGACATATTCATTCTAGTAGGTGTAGAGTAAGCCAAGAAGGAAGTGGAGTAAGGAGTTCTTCAGTATTTTCTGTTGCATAGTCATCTTACAGTGAAGTTTTATCTCTATGTGAATGCATGGGGATCAACGTAATTATTATAATTGTAAAGGTACCTCTGAGTTTAAACTGTTGTAGAAAAAAAGGAGTAAAAATTCTACTTTTTTAACAGTGAACATAAGAAAAATTAGAGTTAGTATCAGGCTGACCTACATATCTGCTTTGTGATTTTTTGCACTTGGTGTGATCGTTATTAAACAGAAATAGTACTTTTCCCATTTTTCTTCTCCAAGATGCCACTAATCAAGGCTTCAGACAGTGTTCATGACATAAGCGTCATCTTTTTGAGGGTTTATAATGGGCAGAAAAGGAATGTGTCTGAACATACAGGAATACAAGTAATATTTACAAAGAGAATAGTGCATAATTTTTCCTCTGCTTAGAAGGCTGTATTAATAGTAAATATTCAGAAATTTTTAGTCAAGTCTCTTAAATGGTTGCCTAATTACATATTTTGGGTTATGGAATATCACTGTTTAGTCATAGGGAAAGAACATCACATTCCTTTTGCTTGTGGCCCACCACTGTTGAATGTAAACTGTGCTGATTTCATACCCTCACTACTTCAAGTGTTTTATTTATTTTTAAATTACTTAGGTGACACCTTGTCATTTTAAAAATTACTATGGAAATTATGCTTTTAGTTTTCACTTGCTGTTACACCATTTTCAGAATGAAAAAATGATGGTGAATTATTTTGGATACAAAAGCAAGTGTATTTTTTGTTTTGGTTTGTTTGGTTTAAATAATCTGTCCTGCTTTGTTTTTTCTCCAAAACAACGGCAAATAAGCTATTTGAAATCTCACAGCCCACTCTAGGTTGCTCTTGCTAATATGGTTTCAAGCAACAGGGCAGTATTAAGAGAAAGTCTAGTTGCTATTTGTGGTCCTGTGAAAAAGCAGCATTGTAGTTACAGTGTTTGGGACTAGGGTAAGCAAGAGGATACCCACACTTGTCAAGCACCAGCCGTTAAAGACTTCATTTGAGTGGTCTAGGTCAGAGAATGACCTACTATCCTACACAGAGCTGTAGCATCTTTGTGTGCCTGGAGTCTCTCACAAGGCTCTCTGGAGTTCTGTAGTTGCAGCAGATTTGCAGCATATGTAAGAGCAACAGGTTTGAAATTACTCTTCTTTGGCACAGTTCTTGGAGATATCCAGCTTTTCTTGCTGTTTTTTTGTAAGCCAGTATCATCAGCCTACAAAGCAAACACTGTCTCTGAAGTCTGGCAAGGATCACTCTGCCATCACCCATACTGATTGTGGAGCAAATTTAGTAGCACATGTTGCCTCAAGTCTTCAGTGGAGCTTTGGCAGCAGGGTCACTATCAGAAGGCTGAATGCCTCTGTGAGCATATTCTTTTGGATCCTGGTATGTCAGGATTTTGTGTGTGCTTTGGCATCAGCAGGTTTTAGTGGCATGCACTAAATTTTCTATACAGAGAGAATTTCCTCATAATTTTGGATTTAGTGGTAATTAAACAACACGCTGTTGTTAGGGATCTAGAGATGGAATTGATGCACTCTTACTCCAGCATTGTTGGATATTTTATTATAGCTCTTCTTCTGTGTCTCTTCCCTCTAGTAATCTATGCTTGTGGCTTCTCACTTTATCCATACAAGAACTTTCCTATCCCCTTGGTAATTCTTGGTGTATGTGAAACTTTTTTGATAATCATGTGTGAAATCATAAATCATCAGCACATTTTGCCTCAGCATGTCTGCTTAGCTGTTTGACATCTCATAAATTGCATGCTAAATCTAAGTGCTTCAAGAAAGATGTTCCTGTCTGTCTGTCTCAGAGTCTCTTGGTAGGTATTTTCTGTGGGAATCTTCCTAGCTCATACAAGAAATGTCTGTTCTTACTTTCCTCTTTTAAATTAGGTGAGACAGATCACTCTCTTTCCTACTGCCCTGCTCCCATTTACTGTGCTCTCATTTCCTGTCAACCAAAGATATTATTGCCAGTAACTTTTAAAAATCAATTTCATTCATTTTCATGATGTGAATACTGAATAGCAACAGGTCTCAAACTTGATCACTGCAGAAACCCAGTGGAAGTATCTAATTTGTTCAGTTCCCAATTGACTCAGCAGTTTGTCAACATATTCTGAATTCAATTACCCTGTGGTTTACTGTTTGTATTGCTAACTTTTAAAAATAAAAATTGCATGCGGTAATAAGCCTTCATGGAATATGGTAGTACTTCTTAAAATTTTTGTATAATAAATGACTATTCTTTCTGTAGATCTTATTTGTAGGTTTTGGGCTCTGAAATGAATTTGCACTGTCTCAGATATGTGTTACAATCTGATTATAAGGGAGATTAATTAAGGTGCAAACAAGACCATATGCCAAAGTCAATAGTATGGATTTTATTTATCAGTAAATGTGAGGTAGAAAGAAATATAAAAAAAAGAGGAGGGGGGAAAGAAAGGGAGACAGATTAGGGGAAAGTAAGTCACCACCCCTGTTGATCCAGGGTGTACTGTTCATCCTCTTCTTCTGTTTTTCTCTCTGGTGGGTGTCCCATGAAACATAGAATTCAATGGGTATTAATATACATTCAAGTGTACATGGGAATGCCCAAGCACCTCCCCTTATGAGGGAGTTCTACACTGTCTTATGCAGCAGAGTCTGAATCTATTGAAAAACTTTGAATCACTTGCAGTCCTCTGGTATAAAGCCTGAGGAATGAGTTTGGGGACCTTTGGGGATCTTTGATGGTTCATGACCCCTTCTTAGACATGAGAGTCGCCTCTCATGTGGTTGTCTCATGGTGTGGATGTTCACTCTCTTGGTCTTACGTGTGGGTCTAGGATTCAGTCAAAGAGAGAAACAGGAGTTTCTAGCCAGGCAGAAGCCTGGGAAAGAGTTGGAAAAGAATGTAAATAATTCTCTATATCTCTTGTTATTCACATTGTTTACAGTTAAGTTCTATCACTGTGCATCAAGCACTTTGCACCAATGTGGTGGGTTGTTTTCACTTCAGAACCAATAGAGTTGTTCCTCACGAATCTCTGTATAAAAGAGCAGTGTATTTTGAATAAACCGGAGTTTTACTTCCAGCAGCCTTCTGGTCAGTCTCTTCATTCCTGTCCTGCCTTGACAGTGACACTTATGTGGACCAGAGGTTTTGCCATCACACTCCCAAAAGCTCACCTTCTCTCTCTTGGACGCATTCTTCTTTCCCAGCCCTGTTTACTTCTCCTTAGACCTGAGGTAGTTGGACAGCAGTGCCACCTTTATCTTATCTCAAGTTCCCTGTCAGGTAGCTTAACAAATTCCTGTCAGGAGACATATTTGAAGAGATGGACTTGGGTTGCAGATGAGCTTCTTTGCACACTTTGCTACAGTGGGCAACGATCTTAAAAATGAGCCATTAACCATTTCAGTCTCACAGATTATGTCCATTTTTGTTTATCCTTTGTTGAACTCTGAACAGCTTCCAAGAAACTTGGGTAGTTTTTCTGCAGAATCTGTAAGAATATTTTATACCTGTGCCAGATTTGTTTTTTTTTTTTTCCTAAATGAATATCTTATTCTCTGGGTTATATTTCCTATCAACTGTCAGGTGAATTTTCTTTCTACTCTTTGTGTTTTATTTTGTTTTCTCCTATATCTGAGACTGGTAACTCCAAACCTAAACTGCTTTAACTTACCTGTGATATAAATATCCACCTGTCAGAGTCCTGCAAGTTTATCCAAGCACTCCTGAAGGTTTAACAGTTGGTGTAGAAGATACTGTCAGGTTCAAGCTTGCTGGAAGTTTGAGGCACAGGCATGCCTGTGACTTAGCTTAGGGAGAGATCTGGTGTGAAGCAGGATCTGGGAGGGAGTGGGTGTGCTCAGGACCACATAGCCCTTTTATGGGCTCTGGATATTTACATTTGGTTAAAAGTAACAGCCTACTTTATTACTGCAGACTAACCAAGTTCAGCTTGCTCTACAGCTAGGTGTTTTGGTGTCCAAGATGATTGATGCTAGTTCAAGTACATATTTACTTAATGAGAAGCTTGTGGCAATTTGGGGTTTTCCAGAGTCAGAGGCTATTTGTTTTAGCACTAGTGATGAGGGCTTGAACTTTTAACCAGGTGTCTACAGACCTGCAGGTATAGTGAATATTACAGGGAGAGAGTGTCAACTTGAACAAACATGTTCATGAACAAATACTGATGAACACATGAAAGTTGTGATGAAGCAGTCTGCTAGAGTGGTGTTTCAAGACCATCTAGTAAAAGATTTTTCTTTGCGTACTGTGTGTTATCTGACAGGAAAAAGGACTCACTTTTTAACAAGCATCATTTTGCATTTCTTTTTGGTAATTAAGGATAGGCTAATTGCAGAAAGAGGGCTTTTGGTGTTGATTATACTGCTCTTCTACTTGGGCTGGAAATTTATTTTCTCTCCATTTGTTTCTTACTGCCTGCTTAATGCTTTAAAAAAACTGGCTTTTAAATTGTGCATTCCATTTTGTCTTATTTTTAAAATCTTTTGTGGTACTCCTCTTTTTGAGAACGCCTCTCACCAGGACCAGTATCTCACCATAAAGCTGGAAAACCACTGGTACATATCCAGCCTTGGCTGTCCTGTGTTCTTTGAATCTGATTAATGGTTCACCAATGCTCTTGCCAGTGTTCAGGCCCAGCTGGATGCAGTAGGAAAAGTGTGTATCTCTCAATTTGCGTGCTCTGTCAAAGTTAATCTTCTAAGTGCGGCCTTTCTAGTGAAAACGTTATGGTGATACCTGTGTTAAAACTCATTCTACATTAACATCACCTTCTAATTTCAGAATATGTATGGAGCCGTTCATGCAATGTGGTAATTACACTTACAGTAAGATTATGACTATATGATTCTGTGCTGACTGCTGATCATATTTTCGACACCATAAAAAGCATTCTTGATTATTTTTTGTTAGGATTACTTACTGTTGAACAATTTGTCATAAATGATTACTTCTGTTTACAATTTGACTATGTCCCTTAGCTCAAGAAAAACCCTACCCCAAACCAGACCACAGTCTGGTAGCACACTAAAACAGAATAGGGGCCCTTCAGGATCTCTCCAGGCTTCATGTGGGGTAGCATGAAGGTTCCAAAAAGTCAGTTGTAAGCAGGTAAGTGGGAATCTTTCCAGATTTGAGAATAAATTTTAGGTAAGAAAAAGCTGTCTGTGCATGGGAGTATAGCTGCAGTGCCACTGTGTCCGGAGACTCCTTGTTCAAGAGGGAGTGTGGGTGTTCTCTGATTGCATCTCAGGGTAGATATAGACATGACTCTCTCTGCTGCCAGTGCAATAGCATATCTTTGTGTCTATCTTTTGATTTGCATGTCCGTTTGTCCTAATTTTCTAAGTAGTAACTAGTATGTGCTATGTTCATGTAAGGCATGGTTCCTAAAGCTCGTGAATTTATTTCTACAAGTGAACACATTCATGGTATTATTATTTTTAACAAAGCCTCCTTTGAAGTCTTACTTGAAATTACTTCTGTTGCTGTGCTACCACTACTGTTACGTGCTCAAGGCTTGAACTGTCAAGGAATTATGAGGTATTTTTATCCTGTGACATTTTAAATTATTCTCTCCATAGGGGAAGCCTGTGGGAACGCCAGATGCTGGTGCCTATTTCCGTGTGCTAGCAGAGCATGAAGTAGCTGCCTTCTTTACTTCACCAACTGCAATTAGAGCAATCCGTCAGCAGGACCCTGAGGCAGCCTTGGGAAAGCAGTACTTGCTGAAAAGGTGAAGTAAGGATATACTGGAAGCAGTTTTTTCCAGAAGGAGGCTGCATGAACTAAGAGTAACAGAGTATATTTTGCCCACCTCTGTAGAGTGCCATTTTAATCTATTCTTGAAAATATAGGTGTACACATATCTGCTTGCAAATTTCTACTGACAGTTTTGAGGAAATAAAGGCTGTTAAAAAGTCTGACTCTAATGTTAAGAGCTTTTACTGAGTTAGGATTCCTCTCACATCTTTTACTTTACTCCCCTGTGCTTATACTCTGCAATACAGTCTTGGATTATGTCATCCCATACTGCTTTTTCCACATGACCTCTCATATTGTTAAGGGCACAGAATCTTTAGTGTTTGTTTAATCAGAAGCTAGTCAATGTTTTGGTAGCTCTTCCCCAACTTCATTATTGTTTCTGGTTATGTGTCCACAGAACTATTTCCTGAAATGTATTGCTTTTAAGGTGCTTATCACTATACTATCAGCATGCTTCAAAGTCTTAGCTGAGTTCATGCTCATAAATCCCCTGTGAGGTGAGAGAGTGGTATTATCTGTATTTTGCAGATGGTAAGCTGAGTCAAAGAGAGATTAAGGTCAAAGTCTTCTGTTAGTTTGGAATATCTAGTCTGAGACACTGAAATACCACTGTGTCAAAGATTGAAGTATTATATGGTTAAAATGCGATATTAGCATTATATTTATGAAATGCTTCTCATAGTAACTTGGGTCTGCGATTGTTCAATACTTCTACAGATCAAGTTTCTGAATCTTATGGTAAACATTCTAAAACTTAAAAATACATGGGTTTGGATCCCATCTAATCTTGAAGTTGAATGATTTGCTCAGCATCAAACAGGGATTGTGTCAGACTGTATAGGCAGTATTCAGTCACAAGAATATCTATTACCACTCTTGTTCAAAGAGAAGGGGAGCTTCTTTAGACCTCCACATTCTTAATTGCTCAGGAAAGTTTATTATTAAGCTGGATTTTTTCATGAGGTATTCATTACAATCTTATCTTGTAATGAATTACTTTTTTCCATCTGTTTTGACTGCTATCATCAACCCTTTATTGACAAGAAAGTGACTCAGATTCTAGAAAATTTAACTGCTGTTCCTTGGCATTTCTTAGGCAATTACTTTGTCTTTAGAGTATTCATTCAATGGGAAATCTGCTTACCTGGCTTGTAAGTTGTCACATTCTCTGGCCAGATAAGAATTCTAGATAAGAGTCTCATTGCAATATCTGCTGCCAGACGTATAAAGAGGTATTTCATCATTCCTATTCAGTCATATCAAATGAGCTTCTCCACTTGTCTGCAGCTTTATTCACTCAGCTTTGGACCATGTAGTTTACTGGGATGTGATGCCTCTTTACTAAACCCTCTAATGCAGCATTTAATATCTAGTAGGTACAGTTGTTAAGAAAATCTATCAAGTGATTAAAATTTCCATTCTAGGGAAATACTTGGGTTTGGGTGTTACTTGGATAGACTTTTTTATTAAAGGTTGAGTGATTTCTGTCTGATTCAGTTTGAAAGCAGTCTTAGTTCATTTAGTTGATCAATTATGCTTTCTTCTTTGATATGTGGTGAAGAATCTTTGAAATGCCTTTCTGCTTAATGCATTAAAACAGATTCTTACTTTAGAGACTGCATCCAGGAATGCAATCCTGAAAGAGGTTTCCACCATGGTACATTTTATTTCTGAAAAGTTCTGTTAAATAAATGGTAGAAGTTAATGTCACTAAAAAAAATAATGTTAAAAAAGACAGTTACTGATGAAAAAAGGAGGTGGTGGGATGTTTGTGGCATCACTGGCCTCTGCACAAAATTATATATATGAATTTTCCAAAGGTCTGTTGTGAATGCTTTAAATTTCTTGTGTCTATTGGAGACAATTCTTGAAATTTCTTTGCTTTTGACACAAAATGCCCCCTTTGTCTTAAACACAGCTCATGCTTAATGGTAAAACCGATGTTTAGTTTTTAGTACTGTAGGTCAAGAGCTCTGTTTAACCACATATTTATAGAGATCTAAAGACATAGCTTTTGAAAACATCCAGTGCTGCTGACCATTGCTGCCTGTCATATTGGAAGAACAAGTAACATCCAAGATCTCATGAGCTTCATCTACCTAATCATATTCTGTTCGGCTCTTTGAATCCATTCTCCTCTTCAGAAGGTAGCTCCATAATACCAAGCTGTTAACTCTTCCCATATTTGGAATCACACTTCATCTTATAATTGACATAATTGTTGTGAAATTGTTCTAATTTCCAAACAATTGACAAGTCATGGTTTTGCATGAAATGGGGCAACAACTCAGCAGTTTAGATTGATGTTCAAGTAATTTGTCATTTGTGTCCCATAGTCTACTTTGCTTGCTTGACTTTTGGTCAGTTGAGAATGTTCTGCAGTTTTACATCAAGAGTATTTAGAGATTCTAGGTTGTTCATCTGATATGTAAAGTATTCATTATTCATTATAAAGTATTCAAGTAGATAAGAAACTTCCATTATCTGTCTCATAATGCAGGAACAAGAGGATGTGAAATTAAAGTAACAAATTCAAAACTGTTAGAAGGAAATCATAGAATTGACATTTTACAAATGCTGCTAAGAGGATATGTAATTAAGACCCACAACCAATTACAATTGAAGTATGTAATGCAGTTCTGCCTGCTTCTCTCTGTTCTGTGCTGCTGTTGATCAAACATGGCCCTTCCTGGTGGAGTCCTGAATTGTGCTGAGCCTTTGTGGAGCTGAGCTGCAGTTGTGTTCTGTGTCTTTCTCTGTGACTCTGTCACTAAAACATCCAATGCTTGGATTCTCATATTCAAGGTAAAATCTCTTCAGGGAAGGAAATGAACAAACACGCAAACACGTCAATGGAGAAAAATCAGAAGATGTGAAAACATTTTTTAAAATTTTGCATCTTTAAATAAGTAATTAAAAAATATCAATATTATGTGTGTGTAAATATATATTTATATATACACATACGTACGTGGTCTCCATGTGCATTAAAAATTATTAAGAATTCTTTATTTCCAGTTAATGTTTAGAAGTACAAATCAATCTTCATTGGTGTATTTTTAGGAAAAAAAAAATGCTTATATAATATCATGCAGATAGAGTTTCTCTTTGCCAGACTACCCCCCCGCCCCCAACAAACTGGTGTGTGCATTCCAGAATTTAAAAATAAGAACATTATCCCAAAATCTTTTGATTTGGAAAAGTGAAGCTCAGATTATTACCCATATGAACTTATAAGCTTTGGTAAATAGCTTGAAGATGTGGTTTCTTCTGTGCTTGGAGTGACACCAAAATGTATGTGCTGTGTTGAACAATATTTATTGCTTCAGGATCATTAGGAACATTGATCTGTCCCCTGTATGTCAGGTGATATTCTGCTGAACTCCTGTATAGGGTCTAAAAGCTTGATTGTGCTGAATTTCATGTTAGGAATGTAGGTTTTCAGGACAGCTGAGGACATTTATTTAACAGGGAGGCTTTAGGACCTTTCTTCTCAATTAACTGCATTGCAGGGATAGATGATTGCAGTAACAGGTGCAGTGGGCTTTTAAAAAAATTGTTCAGTGGGACATTTCATAGCTATTGCCATCCCTTGTTTTGCTATACTGTTTGAGAGGAGGAAATAATTCCATGGTTCTTATGCTTAGACTTATGGCACTTTTTTCTGATACTTGTTGATGGTTTTGTGCTTTAAGTTTGCCAAAGAACTAATTTTTCTTCTTCTTATAACATAAAATTGATCTTAAGCCTGCAGATTATTAAATCTGATTACTAAAGCTGGCAATTCAAAAGAAAGGAATTTTGCTTTTGACTCGGGATAACAAGATATTTTAACTTTTCCCTAAGTCTTATATGTTCTTGGTGTTTGTCTAATTTGCTTCCTGAATTTTATTTTCATGGAAAGATGAAACTTGTAGTCTTTCTAAATTATATCCCTCTGAAGTGATATTTGTGTCATACTGACTAGATCTAAGAATTCTCTCTTTTTGTGGCTACAAATCTACTGGTTTTACAACATCAATGCAGTTTGTGTCCACTGCTGAGGGACAAGAGTGAAGTTTTGTGTTCAGCAGTTGTTTTCATTCAAAATGTGCTGAGGAGAGACTTAAAGTGAAATAAAATGTCAATGACACACATCTGGCTGTGGGAGATTGTATTGCAATGCTAACAAAGATATCTACCTAGTTTCTGTGTACAGAACATTTAATTATTTTTTACTTCAACTGACAGTTGCTTGCCTCTGGTCTCCCAAGGTCTTTGCATTCAGCAAATAAAGTTTATTTTACATAATGAAGTATTGAGTAGCTTAAATTAATGCTGCAAATATTCAAGTTGTTACTTAGTAGGAAAGAGAAAACAAAAAGTAAAAATCCTCCTTTGTCTTTTCCCTTGATCTGTGACAGTGGCCAGAGACATGTTTTGCATTCATTATCTTGTTTTCCTTTCCATATCCAGATCAAGATACAGACTTTATTTTTATTTAAAGGTTCAGGATGATGTTTGTAGCTGGTGAGCACTGTGATGTGAACACACTAGAATGGTCAAAAAGAGTCTTCAAGGTACCTGTCTTGGACCACTGGTGGCAAACTGGTGAGTGGTTTAAAATGCCCTTTGTAAAATACAGTGAGGAGAGTATTTACAGACTTGTTTCCTGAGTCTGAAGGTAAAATTGTTTTTTTCTTGCCATGAACTTGTAAATAAATGTAAAAAAAAAATCAAGCAGGAGGAATGTTTTTTTGGAAGTGGTCTAAAAAGTGACTTCAGAGTATTTTTAGAAAAACATGACATTTGTAAAGCTATATAAAAAAAGAAGGTATTTGCTGATACACATGTTTAAAAAAAGAAGTTTGTATCAGTATTTTTCCAGGTGTGTTCTATGTTGTTTGCCTGTGTGACAAAATGTTTGCTATTTAAGGCTTAAACCTAAGTTTTTTTGCATTTGTAATTTGTAGAATTAAAAACAGATAATCTGCTGCATAGAGTACACTTCTTGGTCTTTAATACTGTTCTGTATGGTTGTCATCCAACTTCTAGTGATTATTTTAGAGTGTTTCCCATTTGTTTCACTGCAATGAAAGAAGCAGAGTACTAATCTGTGGGTAACTTTGCAAAAATCCTAGTTGAATCCTGGATTAAGTCTTGATCAGATGTATCTCCTTATAACTGTGGATTCACAGATCTTTAGATTTCACTATTAGAAGATTGTTTGGATTTTGCTTCCTACACACATTGCTGATTGAACAGTGAAAATGTATTACAAAAGTTTACCCCTTTCACTTTCTCTTTATCTATACCTCTTGTGTTTTCTGTGGATCATTGATTTAAGATATGTGGTCTCTTTCTCTATAAAGAAAAACCTTCTGAGTTTCTCCCATGATAGATCAAATAGAAGCTATAGAACATTAAAGAGAAAGTGAGAAACTGTTATTTCATCTATATATTATGCAGTTAAGTCAGTTGAGGGAGCTTAAAATGCATTGTTTTTATTAAAAAACCCAAAACACAATCTTGGATAAATACTGAAAAAGTTCTGGAAGATAGTAGTTTCATTTTTTATTTAACCTGTGTTTAATTAATTTAAATTAAACTCAGATTAATCTGCTGATTAGCTGATTAATACAAGGCAAAATACCTCTGTTTCATTTAGTTCACTATGATCCTAATGTCTGTAGGCAGGCTTGAATGATACAGAATGAGAAATTAACTGAAAAGGGCTAAAAAATTAAGTGAAATTAACTGAAAAGGGCTAAAAGAGATAATACATTTGATAAATAGCTGAACTGTCAATAATCAATGTTACTATGTGTAATTTTGCATGTGGTTTTACGTGTTTATGCAGATATAAAGATATATATTGCATATAAAATTGCCATAGCTTTTGCATATGTTTAGTGCAACAGTTTCGTGTTACAATGTGCTTTCAGATTTATCTCACGTATGTAAATATCAATGAGAGATTTTAAGCATATGGATATAATACACACTGTATAGAGGTAGGACTGTGTTTTAGACATTTTTCAAAGACGACCAAGACTCAGCTCAGACTACAGTCTGTTTCTTGATTTGTATATTCAGGGTGTGCTCTTAAATTAAATTATACTGTGACTTAATGAACTAAGGCCATTTCAAATACATTGTTTTCATTGTGTTCAAATACATTGAGAGCATTTAATAATTTGATTAGAGTGAAGACCCAAGTGATTTGTATGGAAATGTGAGGTATTGAATGAAAGCAAGGCCTTCAGTCTGAAGGAAAAAATGTACTAATTCAGTTCCTATCAAGGAACTGAACTTTAAGGAATAAGGAAGTAAAAGTCACAGAGTTATTAGGTTAATGAGGACCTCCTGAGCTCATTTAATTCGGTCCCCCTTCTCAAGCAGTGTCAGAGAGAGTGTTGCCCAGGATCCTGTCCAGTTTTGAATATCTCCATGGCTAGGGATTCTCTGGCCACTCTGGCCAGCCTGTGCTATTGTTTGACTGCCCTCACACTAAATACATATTTTTGGGGCTCAGATGGAATATCCTAGTTTTAGTTTGTGCCTGTTGCCTCTTTTTCTGTAAGTGGGCATCACTGAGAAGTCTAGCTAACATTTCTTCAATGTGTGTAAAGACTGGATGCATCCCAAGAAGGCCTACAGGGTTGCCTTCTGTGAGAAGCTGCCAAAAGCTTCCTTCATGCTCCAAAGATGGATGTGCTGCTAGTCATGCCTTGGCCAATTAGAAACGGTGGTAATGTGGTAATGTGTGATAACATATTCAAAAATGAGGAAAAAAAAAGTTATTGCATAGCTGTAATTGCAGCCAGAGAAGAGCGGTGTGAGAACATGTGAGAGAAACAACTCTGCAGACACCAAGGTCAGTGGAGAAGGAGGGGCAGGAGGTGCTCCAGATGCTGGAGTTGAGATTCCTCTGCAGCCCATGGTGCAGCCCATGGTGAAGTAGCTGCCCCCTGCAAGCCACGGAGGTCCACAGGAGGCAGGGATCCACCTGCATCCCATGAAGGAGACCCACGCCATAGCAAGTGGATGCCTGAGAGGAAGTTTTGACCCTGTGGGAGGCCCATGCTGGATCAGGCTCCTGGCAGGGACCTGTAGATCCATGGAGAGAGGAGCCAATGCTGGAGCAGGTTTCCTGGCAGGACTTGCTACTTGTACTCTTTCCTTGATTTCTTGAACTGTGGAGAATTAAGACTACAGACATGGCCTCACTAGGGCTGAGCAGAGGGAGAAGATCACCTTGCTCAACCTTCTGGTCACATTTTTCCTTATGTACCCCAGGGTGCCACTGGCTCTCCTGGCCATAAGGGCATTGGGGGCTTATGGTTACCTTGTCATCTGCCAGGAGTCCTGTGTCCTGGAGCACAGCAGCCATTGCCACAGGTGAAAGCAGTCTTCCCTTCTTCTCTTCACTCACCTCTGCTTTAGCAGAATACAAAATAGATGCCATTAATTGCGAAAAAACAAGCAGTTCTATCACATTCATCCTTATCTGTCACATGTCAAAATGTTGAAAGTGGATTTCTGTGCTGGAAAAGCCATTTCAACCAAACAGTATTGGATTTCAGTACATGGGGTTAAAGGTGTATGTACTGAACGTGAAATATTTTACAGAATAGATAACTGGCTGTTTAATTTATTAGAAATATGCAAGGTTAGTGATTGATAACAGCATAAGGACCCACAGATTCAGCAATAATAATTTGCTGAACTATCTCCAAAATAAAAAAAGTGGCATGTTAAAAAAAACAATAAAAAACCCAAATCACTTCTGTCAGGAGGAAGTTGAGACTATTAGCTGTATTATGTAGAACTAGTAAGTTTTTAAAATGTATTTTTTAATAAAGGAAGTATCTTTTTTTGCCATTTAATTGCAGCTGAAATTATAAATTGCTGGTTTTTTACACTTCAGATTGAAAGTTTCTGACTTACTTCTGCACATGAAAATGCTTTTGACCTTTGCTAGTCTGACAAATTGGTACTTATTCCCAAAGCTGATATTTATCTGCATTCTTCCAAAACAAGAGCATTGCAAAACTCTGAGAAATTTGGACATCTTAATTTTGCCCAAAAACTGTAGATCTTAGGCAGTTATGTTGGCTCTTTGAGCTGAGACTAAAGCAGAAGATGGAGGAGGAGAAGTATCTGAGTAAATAATCTTTTTTACATAATGGGGTAATTTCTATTCCTTTGTTAATGACTGAGAAAGGTAAGGAAAAGATGAGTTTTGTAGAGATGAGAAGTGACTGAGTCATCATTTGAAGATGGAAATGAGTATGGGGGAAACAAAGGGCTGACAAAAGTGTTATAGGAGTGTTAACCACTTTGTACTTCAGGTTTAGTAAGATGTCTTCAAAGCTCTTGGCCTCTTTACCATATTTATAACTTGAAATAAATTAGTATGGACAAAGGAACTTGGATTTCTTTAATTTGTTCTTGAAAGATTTATGGTGTGTAGTTAAAATCACTGTGAACTGTAACAATACTTTGAAACAGAAGAAAGCTTTCGTTAAGGGACTTTAAAGCAGCTACACCTGGAAAAGCTGATTGCTTAAAACTGATTTGTGTCAGTACATCTTCTTCAGTAACACTAATTTTAAATGTTAATGTTTGTGTTACAGGTATAGTAAGCACATCTTACAAACCGTGAAATACAAGTCACAGGATCAATGAGTGGCAAGGAGGATTTCAGGCAGTAAGGACTGGGAAGAACTTGGCTGTTTTCTTTGGAGATATGGCAATGGATGGATTAATGTTTTTTTCTGATCCTATGCTCAGCTGTACCTGGAGAGAGGAGAGTTTTGTTTGGCTTGGTGCAGGTGTTTTTTGCTTATTTATACAAATTGACACTTAGCACTTCAATAGCAATTTTCATCTTCAAAGTTGTTGTGCAAACACAAGCAATTAATACTTTTGACACCCCTGTGAAGTAAGTACAGTTATTCCAGTCTTGCAGACATTATATGGAGAAAGAAGAGTATCCTGCCCCAAGATAGCCTGTAAGCCTTAAATTCAGTGTCAAAAAAAATTTTTTTTTTCAGAGAGATAATTTTTCTGGTCTTATTTACATATATTTTGTGATATTTTTTTCTGACTGGGAGCTGGAATGCATATTTTGGACCTTGTTTTCTCTCTCTGTATAGTTATGTTGTTTACTTGCTCTGTTTTAGCATTGCAGGTAGTTAAATTACAAGGATCCTTTCCAAATTTATTTGAAGTTGCCTAAACAGGGTTTGGGTTGTATCTGCTGTGTGACTGCCATCATTCTGAGGGAGGGGTCTCAACAGACAAATGTGAGTTTGGCTTACCTTGATTTTAGAGCTAGCTTTGAGTTCTAGAAAGAAAAAAAAAAAAAGAAACAGCCAGGAGGTTGAGCTGTGGAAGCAGAAGACTCTTAAAGTTTGTGTTAAACATCTTCAGCTGTTTTCCTGTTAGCTAAAAAATGAAACTCTGCCATATCACTTTTGACATTTTGAGAAAATGGTATGGTAGATTTCCATTTCTTCATAATAAGTATAGGATATAAAGAGTTTTTTTTTTTTTCTCTTGACGTTTTTAAATAAAAATGGTTTGAGACTGCCTTTGAGGATGTA